TCCCAAACTGAGATTACTGCAGCACAGCAAGGATCTCAACTTGATAAATGTAGACCGTGCCATTTTCATTCTGGATCTAATCTCGTGAGCATAGTTCCATTGTGAGTTGAGAGTAGTTGCGAGATAAGTGAATCTATCGACTCTCTGGATCTCTTCGCTACCTGCCGTTAGTGCCTCGGGATCTCAATTTGCACGGCTGACAACCATAAATTTAGTTTTCTTAATATTAAGTTCTAGTCCGTATTCTAGGTCCGTTCACAGCTCTAGGTTTGTGAAGGCTTCAGTAAAAATTTCCTCAGACTATATATTGAAAAGCGTCGGCGAGAGCACACAGCCTTGGCTTACTCCTCGCATGATTTTCACTTAGTCGGTCAGCTGGTCTTCGACCTTGACTTGAGCACGTTGGTTCCAGTATAAATGTCCTTCTGATCCAATCCTACTCTTTGTAGGGCAATTAGTTAAAATGTTTTTGACCAATATAAGGTTGGTCACTTGGAAAAGTTCATTTTGAGGCCAACTCATTTACAAGAGCTGAACTAAACAAAATATCATCGTCAACTTTGCGGGACACAGCAATATCCTAAAACTTTTCAAGGAATGGAACACTGATTTAGAATCACCAGATAATTTATCTGACAAATTTATTAGAGTCGATACATGAGCTATAATAGAGGGAGTCACATTAGAAACAGAGGTGGAAGCAGTATCTATATTTTTTACCTCATTATTATCATTAGAAACAATTTTTTCGTCTCTGATGAGTTATGTGATGTTTGAGACTGAAGTGAAAATTTTATAAAACTGGCATAAGACTAGCTATGATGTACGAAACCGAATGTTGGGCAGTTAAAAAGAAAGAGGAACAAGAAATGCATGTGGCGGAAATGAGAATGGTTAGACGGATGGTGGAATGATAGAAACTCTAGGAATGAGAGAGAGAGAAGTCAAAATGAGAGAGCATAGGTTGATAGTCCGAGCATGTTCAATATCAAGACGTTAATCTCCCAATATGAAGAATTTCCAAATTCCTGGATGGAGTAGGGGAGTAAGACCAAAGAAGACCTGGAGAGATGCCTAGACAGGACATGACGGTAAAGGGAATTGATATTGATATGACCTAAGATAGAAACTTATGGAGAAATCTAATTAGGGAAATGACCCCGCATCGGGATACAGTCAACGAGAATGATGATGACTGATGAGTAATATCAATCCAACAATTTGTGAAAATTTTTAAATTGTATTACATATAATTATATATTATTCAACAAAACATTGTTTTTCACTTCCTTGTATGAATCATACATACTTTGGATAATTCCGTTAATATGATTTTTAACTCAATTGCATCAGACTGCAGTAATTTTCTGGGTATAGATAACTAGTAGACGTCTATTTACCTTAGTTGAACGATATCGTACTTCACTGATGTGTAAATGCACTCTCTTTTTATATCGCTGGAAAGCAAACACATGCTTAAGACATATTTAAATTTACTGTGGCGCCTTCGCACAAACCACAGACTGCTTTATGATCCGTGAGCTTGACCCAAAAATTTATATTCTTTGACAAAGCAAAGTTAGATCTTATTTTCGATTTTTATAACAGATGTAAGACATTTATTTCTATAAAAAAATTTGGACGCACATGTACGGCCATCGTGTGGGTTGGTCGTAAAGCTGGGCATTATATTCTGTGACAACATCGGAATTATATCACTAATATAATATATAGTCTATGAAACTCAAGATTAGTTGTAGAAGTGGGCTTTTGTTGGTTTTCTAATTAAAAATATTTTTGATTATAAACAAAATCAAACAGATAACTTTCATTTCCGTCAGAGTACTAGGGTCCTTATATGTGTTCAAGTATTTACTACTTTTTTTAGGTTTACCTTTTACTTAACATATCCAATCCAGATAATTTTAATATTAAAAATATTAATATCTTCTACTTTTTATGTTTATATTAATATAATCGTCGCTTGTATTCTTCAAACCTTTCTTGTTTCTGTCACATAATTTGTTTTTGTCTCAATAAATTTGTTAAAACTTTTAAGTCTTGGCATTTTTGATCCCTACTTTATAGTTTTTCGTGCATTTGTAAACACTCTGCTATTTATTCTGAGCTTTACCTGTATTTAAGAAGAAATCTTTACTTTATACAGAAGCTGTTTGTTGTATATAAATTTAAACAGCTTTTGGATTTTCTAATTATATTATTATGACTGTTATAACATCAGAATTATTCCGTTGCTGTTAAAAAGTCTAAAAAGCTTTTAAAAGATCATTTATTCTGATGTGAAACATCTAATGCGAATAGTTAGACCGGCTGCTGCCATGGTGATGCTTCGTTCTGCGAAGAGTTTCCTGCGCTCATAACTCATTGACGTATGCATTATTTCTGTTTTTTGAAAGAAGTTGCCAGCGTTTTGTTTTATTGAAAGTTATTAACCGTGATAATAAAGTGTGTTAACTGGCGAAATGTGAGGATAGTTTAAGATATTTTGATATTAAATCAATATATATTTTTGGAGCGAAGCTTCAATACTGGCGTTGTATTACATTTTTGTGTAAAGTAAAATGCGGAGGCGAGCGTCACGGAAGTAGCACCACAATATGGCATCGTCACGGGCGTCACAAAATACCGGTTCTTCAAATGGATTAACTACTCTCGATCAATTCGTTTCTATGACATCGTATATTTATTCTACGCAGGTTTAAAGTAAAAACTACATGAAAAATAACTAACAAAATACAGATACAGGCATTAAATGAGAAGTAAAAAAAACAAGAATATCTGTCAATAAAAGATTCTTTTGCAACGATTGTCAAAATTTAAAAGTCATACAAGTAGGATATAAACCAAAAGATACCGTCGTCACGACGTCTCAAGAACAGCTAATCTAGAGTTTGGAACACTTTAAAAGGGTACCACGAGACAGAAAATTTTTTACGAAGGCCTGGTCAAGAACTCCCAAAGTGCACAACAGCAATTGATAACCGTTTTTTGGTTCTTAATACTTCACGAAATTGCTCATTGACATCGACGCACCTCAGAAATGAGTTACTTCATATTAAACAAGGCAATCTAAGTTCCAAAACAGTTAGACGACGATTAAAAAAGCAAACTTAAAGCTTAGACGCCCTGCCAAAGTTCCACGTCTTCTCCAAAATCATAAAGCTCGTCGTTTGTAATTTGCAAGAACACATATTCTCACCGATGAGAACAGAATTATGGAAGCTAGATGGTCCAAACCACATCTACAGAAGAGTTATAGAATGATTCGCCACCTGCAATGTCGTCCAGACCGTTAGTTTTGAAAGTGGTGGTATATGACTTTAGGGAGGTATTAGTTGGGACGGACACATCGCACTTGTATAGCTGATTGGACGGATCACTGGTGACTCTTACGTTCAAAACTGCAAAACAAAAATCCCGCAAGATCATGTTTTGCCATATGTTGGTTACATTGGATATGACAGATTCATGTTGATGTACGATAATGTTCGACGATATGCTGCTGCCATAGTGAGTTATTATCTTGATATCTAAATCACCATTGAGCCCCGGTTTAAATCCACTAGTGCACAAGTGGAATCAGCTTAAAGACCGCATACGACAAAGAAATTCCGTTTTAAATACGATAGAGCAGCTTTGGCTTGCTGCACGGGATGAATACTTGTTACTGATCATACACTTGTTTCAGTTAAAAGACTAATCAGTTTAAATTAGCATTTAAGTTTAAAGTAAAATAACCTTATTTACCTAACATTAAGCATTGTTTTTTTGTAATTGTCTCTTCCTAAAAGCTTAAAATTGTTCATTAAACATTTTTAAAATAAAAATAATAAAAAAAATTATTATGAAAAAAAAATTTCAATATTTGTCAATGAGTGTATAATAACTAAATGACTATCAAATGACATTTATTTATATTTTATTATAATTTAATATTTTGTTTGAATTTGACAGGTATGGCAGAAGTAAATAACCTATGCTTTGTTAATATGTCAACAAATTGCGTTAGGAGCAAACATAATAATTCATTAAATTATTTGAATATAATTTATTTAAACTATAAATAATAAATTACTTTTAAATTTAAAATTTAAAAAATAAGGAAAATCTAGTATAAAGTTTCGCTAGTGTACTTTATCGTCTGCATAAATATGGCATTGATTGTGCCATATTTATTGTTTTTTGGTAAACCATCCATGCATATGGATGGAGTACAGTAAACTTCCATGCATATTTTCTATACAAAATAGTTTCATCAACTTTTACAACTGCCAAGTTGTATTTTGGTGTCTGGTCATGTACTGATAATATTTGAAATTTTATTGGTTAACTTGTATTACCACTTCAAAGATTTTGATTTGCACATACTGCTCATATATTTAAAACAGTTACATCCCTAAAAGACAAGGAGGCCGAAGAACTCAAACGGCAAGGTTTGAAAGGCAACTCAGCCTGAAAAAAATGAAAACAGGAGTAAAAATATTCGGTTAAAACGCAGCACTGGTCCAGTTATAATACGCGCCAAATAGGAGGAATCAGCGCAGATTTTTATTTTCGTGCTACTAAAACTCAAACGGTGTTTGCCGATCAGGACAAGGCGCGAATCTTTCTTAAGAATGGCATTCAATAACTGTTTCTGGCAAACATTCGAAAATACTAAAGATATTCGACGTTTATTATTCACGTAAAAACACGTTGTCAATATTTAGAAGAAAATTATTTTGTTTCATTATGTACTGACATAGTGTGATTTATAAGAAAATTAAAAAAATAATTGCCATAAATATATATCTATTCCATGTAAAGGTGTCTTTAGTAACACCATTGGAATAAGAAGAGTCTATTCAAGAAATAATCATTGTAACCAAAACGAAAATTTTCGAAACCCTTAAACAAGCTAAAAATGTGCAAGGAGCTGCATATACTACATCGAAAGCATATCAGGATATTATTTTAAAATGATATACTTACATTTCCAGTTTATGCCGAACATCAAAACCTCGAAAAGTAGTGAAATGTCTGGAAAACCGTTGGGTGATTGCCATTACACGAGTCGGGAGGATGATTGAGGTAAGTCCCTTCCGGACCGCCGATACTCCTATTCCATAACTGGCATGCGGCTACTATAAAATAAGCCGAATATATTCGCAAATATTGCCAAAAGTTTGCTTAGGATTTTGCAAACAGCGCCACTTGGTAAATTAATTCTATATATTTAGGAGGGACATGAAAGTGAATATAATTTAAAAAACGACAGCGTTTTTTGGAATATTTTCCATTTGAAGCACTATTTAAAAATCATTTAATGTAGTACATACAGAAAAATACATTTTGAATTACAATTTTACATCTTTTTAGCGGTGTGCATAGTTTTAAACGTAAAAGCGGTTTCCCAATTCATATAAAATTTGACAAATTCTGCAACTTTTTCTATTCTAACTAAACACATTTTAGTTAAAATGGCATTCTAACTTTGGAGGCGTAGAACTAGTCAATTTATTGCTGTTTAAACTCATACATTTATTTCTAATTTTCTCTTTTATATCTTCTTTAGTTGTAGCTGGTGTTTTATCTTACCCTGTCGTTTATTTAGACCCAGAAAATAAAGTTTAGTTTGTTTAAATTTGGAGATTATAGAGACCACCTTCTCGCTCCTTTCCTTCCATATCCAAATTATCTCACGTATGTTCAACAGTACTACATATTTGTATGTACAACAGTACTACATAAAATGTACATGCATGTTTTCCTTTTACTTGATCTTCGAAAAATAAGGTTCTTATGGCATAATTTCCAGGAATTTCAACCTAAAAATTCAATGATGATCTTAGTAGATAATAAGCCACTTGAGTGCACTTTGACCTTTCACCACCGTAGCTTGAACCGTACGCGCATGCGCATTGTCATAAATGTCTCATATTATGTCAAATGTCATGTCACGTTTTTACCTCACATTTTTAGCTGAGCTGAGCACCACCAGAACGCTGATGGTGTTTGTAACGGGACATAAAAATGTGACGTAAAAACGCGACTTAACATAATACGTGAAATTTGACATAAAAGGGGACATAATACGTGATATTTGACATAAAACTTGGATGCGCGTGTGGTTCAAGCTGCGGAGATCAAAGTGGCTTGTTATCTACTTCCATATAGGACATAAATAAATTAAATAAAACAACACATCAACACTAATATGTCAGATATTTACGGCACGGAAATAAAACGACATAATGAATCACGTGACTTCTCTGGGCTAACCAGGCATATTTAAGACACATTGGAAATAAACACAGTGGAGATTTAAGAAATAACTTGATTTTCAAATTATGTTTACTATAGTCTTCTTTTTGTTTTTCTTCTTTTTATGTATTAATGACTCTGTTTTTCAATGTGCCTCCAATAAGTTTTCGTGGTCTTCCTACTGATCGTCTTCCTATTCGGGAACCGTCTCTTGTCGTCTTTACTTTACCTGTTTGTGAAAATTTGGTGTAAATTGGAAGTTGAGTAATATTAGAAATTATGTCAGTTTACAATACCATTCTTATGAAAATTAGTTTCATCTCCAAATAAAACGCATTTCAATAAATATGCATTATTCTGAATCATTTCATGCGTCCACCGACAAAATTCTACTCATGTATTATAGTTATTTTCATTAATCACTTGGTGCAAATGTGCATGATATGGATGAATCTTGTTCTTTTTTTTTTTTTTAATTCTTTGTATACTACGACCACTAATTTCAAAATTATTTGCAATTTCCCTATGCACTAATATGCGAATTCTCAGTGATACTAACTACCAGGATTAATTAAATCTATTCCTTTTTTTTTTCATTCACAATAATTTTTGTTCCATAAAATTTCTTGTAATTTACGTGGCCATTTACACTGTTCTAGTAAACTTTGAACAGCTTCTCGTCTATCTAGGAATTGCTAATGATAAATTCTTGTAACTAGTAGTACATTTTTGTTACACCCTCCTGACACAAAAGTCATATCAATACAAAAAAAGAGGTTAATCTTTGCAAGTAGGTACATTTAAAAAACCCTTAGCAATCTTTAAAGCAGTTTGCTTTTAATTAAATGGTTCATACTTATTTTAGGCTTTTAACCTGATGATGGAATTACTATTCCGAAAACGTTTGTTAAATTTGATGTAGCCCTTTTTAGGGTTTTTTAAATATACCTACTTACAAAGATTAACCTCTTTTTTGTGATACATGGTATACAGCCAGCTGCAGGAATTTATTTTCCTTGTGGATATCAATACGTTCCTCCTTAAAAAATTCATATTAGTAATAGTAACAAAGCAACCGGAGCTATAAAAATAGTCTAATGTTAAATTTCTAAGCAAGTTTAGTGTCAAAGTGATGCCAACTAGATTGAATATTGTGTTTTGTTAATATTTTACACACCAACCATCTTAACTACCTAGATATTTTGATATCTCCTTCAATACTAACAAATTAAGGATGAGTCTAAATTATTTTTCATTAAAAAAATATTTTTGATTGAATATTTTCAATCTTTCAAACGCCCAACTTAATAAAATTTTATCTAATTGTTGCTGCAATTTATGTTTGGCCCAAAAACTAACGAATGCCTCACAAATTCCAAGGCTTTATATTGTGAAAACGAGAAGAATTACAGTTTATTCGTCTTCCGGGTTTGGACCGTGTCATTTGTGAGTGACCCAAAAGCGGGTTCATCTCGACGTTTCGCTACAATTGTATGTAGCTTCTTCAGGAGAACAAAGAAAAAGAAAACAAAAGACAGGAAGATGGGTAGTTAGCAACGGTAACTCAGTTACTCAACGCAACCAGAGGCGAGTACTAACTACCAAGATGGGCATTTGGTCACAGTAACTCAACTACTCAACGCAGCCAGAGGTGAAAACCAAATGCCAGGACAGGGATTCACGTCCAACAGCTCAGAACACTAACGCGTCGAGAGGCGGGGAGTGAATCCGACGATTACTCCGCTACCGCTCTATTTATAGTCGCGGTGACCTGTCGTGTCGGGACGTATCGGCACACTCCGTGGCTCGAACGTCAAGAAGCGCGCGCTGGCCAATCATGTGGCTGAATCGTGGTAGCGGGACCGGACGGCGGCTCTAGACTGAGATTCCAGATGGGAGACAAGTAGTATTCTTCCTCTCGATTGATATTATGTGGATTTTTTCGGATCTCTAGAGATTCGCGGATTTTCCTGAAATAAAAGAAGGGGCTCTTAGAAATAATATGGGTTTTTTCGAACAATATGGAATGACCGGTTTCTTGGCAGTGTTCTGCAACTGCAGAATGGGAGAAAAGACCTGATCGAATGCATCTTTGATGCTCTTGAATCCGAGTTTTGACGGAACGACCAGTTTCGCCAATATACACATGTCCACATGAACAAGGAATAGAATAGACACCACAGGAAGATAGGGGCGGTAATGGGTCCTTAGGAGAGGAATTTTGCCAATCCTATCAGTGACATTTCGAATATACGGAAGAAAAGCCACAGGAGTATTACCCGAAGATTCTGAATTTGTCGTCCTAGGGTGTAAAGGGGGATGTAGATGTCGGTGTGTAATATTTTGAATTGTGGACTTGGAGTAACCTTCCTCTCGATTGATATTATGTGGATTTTTTCGGATATCTAGAGATTCGCGGATTTTCCTGGAATAAAAGAAGGGGCTCTTAGAAATAATATGGGTTTTTTCGAACAATATGGAATGACCGGTTTCTTGGCAGTGTTCTGCAACTGCAGAATGGGAGAAAAGACCTGATCGAATGCAAACTCCATCTGCCCTAGAATTTACGGTCTTCCCAAAATCCATAAAGACAACGTACCTCTTCGTCCCATTGTGACTACGATTAACTCCCCTACCTACAAACTCGCAAAGTACTGGTCGAATCAGTTTAAGACCTATACTGGTCGTACCTCTTCTTATGTCCGAAATTCCACACATTTCATCACTTTAATCTCCTCCCTCACGGTCGATCTCCAAGAAATTCTCGTCAGTTTCGATGTATCATCCCTATTTACCAATATCCCCATACATGACTCTCTAGTTGTTCTGCGAGATCACTTGACCAATGATAACAAGTCTTTGGTTTTGGCAGATCTTGCGGGAAAATGCCTTCTTTCAACATATTTTTCTTTTAGAGGCAATTTCTACAAATAAATATCTGGAACACCAATGGGTTCTCCCCTTTCCCCTGTCATTGCTGACATTTTCATGGAAGCCTTTGAGTCTTTAGCCCTAGAATCTTACCCCTTAAAACCAAAAGTCTGGTTCCGCTACGTTGATGACATATTTATCATCTGGCCCCATGGTCAACATACCCTTTCTCCCTTCCTAGATCATCTTAACTCACAACATCCGAGTATAAAATTCACAATGGAAGTAGAAAATAATCGGTCCCTTCCCTTTCTCGATGTGTTAGTCACCTCCAAGCCCAATGGCCGATTGGGTCACTCTGTTTATAGAAACAAGACTCACACGAATCGTTACCTACATGCTTCATCACACCACCATCCTGCCCAAAAGAATTCTGTGATCAACTCTCTCATCCATCGGGCCATTTCGATTTCTGAACCCGACAACCTTAGAGAAGAACTTGGCCATCTGCAAAAAACCCTTGTCGCCAACGGTTACTCCAAGTCCACAATTCAAAATATTACACACCGACATCTACATCCCCCTTTACACCCTAGGACGACAAATTCAGAATCTTCGGGTAATACTCCTGTGGCTTTTCTTCCGTATATTCGAAATGTCACTGATAGGATTGGCGAAATTCTTCGCAAAGAAGGTATCAGGACTACTTTTCGACCACCCAAGAAAATCGCACAATATCTACCCTCTCCTAAGGACCCATTACCGCCCCTATCTTCCTGTGGTGTCTATTCTATTCCTTGTTCATGTGGACATGTGTATATTGGCGAAACTGGTCGTTCCGTCAAAACTCGGATTCAAGAGCATCAAAGATGCATTCGATCAGGTCTTTTCTCTCATTCTGCAGTTGCAGAACACTGCCAAGAAACCGGTCATTCCATATTGTTCGAAAAAACCCA